GTTGTTATTTATACACTGCTGTTATACAGCTGTTACAGTTCTGTTGTACCAGCCTCTCCACTTGTCTAGTTTGTTACAATCTTTGATCTAGTGGTTGGCTGTTAGTTACAATCTTTAAAGGCTGTCGTGGCCTTTTCTTGTACACTTGTATTTCTTTAGTTTGTGTCCCAACAGAGAGTTTAAGAAAGCACCTTCTTTTCTGGTGCCTACATGGCCCCGGACCAGATTAACAATAGCTGTTGGCTTGCCTTGCTGACAAGACTGACCAAAGGAGCATTGAGTCAGTCCACATCCCCTTGTAAGAGTATTAGCCTGCCTTTCTAGTGTAACCTGCCTACCACTTGTCTGCCAAAGCTACCACCTGTCAGAACCTGTACATAGGACCTGCCACACGCCTTCTCATCCCTTGATTTGTAGCTCAGCATCAGTTTTCTTTGCTTTTAACATCTCCCCTAAACTTCCATATTTGTGAAATTTTCAAGCCGATTTGAACTAACCACTCCCTGAAGTCCATGTAACCAATCTTCTTCAGCCTTCCTTCCTTCACTCCACAGGGAGGCTTCAATTGCAGTCACCAACCAGACGGGGTAGAACACTCCATTTGACTGCACCTTCACCATCCTAGGGATATCTTCAGGATAAACACTGCTCAAACATACAAGGTTTTGCTTTTTATTTATTTGTGTTTATTTATAGGTAGGTTTCTTGTTGCTTTTAGATATGTGGTTCTTATGATGTTTATAATCACACCATGTTCTTCATTTCTTCTGTAATACATAGGGAAGCTAAAGGTGATTTATTGGCTTCATCTGGAGATTCAGCAAGCAGCATACTCTAAATATTAGTACAGGTGAAAATGTTGATACAAAGTTCTCTTCCTAGTTCAATTGAAGCAGCTATATCTTTTGTATCTGACCATGGAAAGCAAGACTTATTATGTAATTGGATGCTCGGTGCTGAAACTTGGCAGAAGTGTCCAACATGTGATGAACATCTTCAGGATGGTTGCAAAAATACAATTACAACCAGAGAGAATGAAAGAAATGGTGATGATTCCTTCTCTATAGTTCAGTCAATCTCTTCCCACTTATCAACTGTCAGCAATATGTGTGCAAGCACACCAAATTTAGTGTACAAGCGAAGAAAACTACAAAGGAACTCAGTTGCTCTTTTATCAGATAAGGCAGCAACCAACACCAAGGGAAGTGTTGGCTTTCTTTCTTCCTTAAGTTCTGAAGGCCCTTTACAGGCGGCTAAGCAGGATCAAATAGGTTCTCAAATCAAGCAAGAAAGGACTAACTTCAGATCTCCTGACTTGCCAACAGATTTATGCAACAGAGATCTTGTTAGTGAAAATGCATCAAATTGCCAACAGATTTACCAGCCAAATCTTGAGAATGTTCCTTGTATACAGATAAACCAGAATTGGTGTTTGAATGTTGTTTCAAAGTCAGAGACTATTGTTGGATGTTCTTCAATTCCAAGGAATCTTGAGAATGGTCCTTGTAGACAGATTGACTGTACTGGGGGTTTGGATGTTGTTTCAAAGTCAGAGTGTATTATAGAATGTTCTATTGGAGAAGAGAATGTGCGTGACGAAGCACCCAACACCAATGTGTGCAAGCCTGGTATTGGGTACTATAGTGTTAATGATAGTTGCTCATCATCAAAGTCATGTATGGAGCTTGTTTCTGCATCTACAAAGACTGAAGGGGATGACACTGGAGAGTGTTCTTCATCAGACAATTTGGCCATAGAAGTATTGGCAGAAGATTTATCAGAAAAGGAACTATGCATCTCTATACTTAGAAGCCATGGGCTCCTTGAAAAATTTTGGCCTGCCAGAGCCTGTGCTTCTACTGAAGTGCTGGGTATTGGCACTGATAGCAATTGTTTGCGGTCATGCAAAATATGTAGCCGCTCAGACAATCCACTGAAGATGCTACTTTGTGATCATTGTGAAGAGGCATTTCATGTGTCTTGCTGCAACCCTAAAGTAAAGAAGATACCGGTTGATGAATGGTATTGTCCACCTTGTCTGAAAAAGAAGTGTAAACTTTCATCGGAGAGTGCTCCTGTAAGATCATCAAATGTTAGCTCTGGCATGCCTGAGTATAGGAATACTGCATCTAAAGGTGATTTAGGCCCTATTTCCTTAATGTTGAGAGACACTAAGTCTTATACATCAGGTGTTCGAATTGGTAAAGCTTTTCAGGCAGAGGTTCCTGATTGGACTGGTCCGGTTTCCAAGTATGTTCCCTAGGCTTCTCCCACTCTTTTGACAGTTATTATGTTTGTTTTATTTGGTACATGTAGATTACCCTGCATTTGATTTAAAAAAGTGAAACATTAGATACAGTTCAAAATATCAATCTATTACCTTCTGGTCATGGTGGAAAGTTCCCCCTGTTCTACTTATGTGAGAATATTAATTATGAGTAATAGTTATAAGATGTTCTGTTTCAATTTTTTTTAGGATGACATTATAGTTTAACAATCAGCACACGTGTTATCCTAAATTTCAAATTAAAAACACTGGTGTGCTGTTTTTTGATTGGTAACTATTGGACTTTATTAGATTATATAGAAAGAATGGAATATGTACAACATGCCAAGCATCCCTTGGGGAGTTGGAGTAGTCTAGCAAACAGCGACCTAGATTTATCCCAAAACATTTCATCCTGTTCACACCTTTTTTAGCCAAAGTATTGGCCAAACTATTTTTTGACCTATGTACTAGGGGTGATCATGGGATGGGTAGGGCCAGGCACAGGTTGGTCTTAGCACCTATGATCAATGTTTTAAAACATGGAAGCATGATGTGAGGTGTTCCACTACTTGGAGGTGTAAGCCTCCTGAGCATAAGGAGGCATAAGACTCAAGAGGAGGAGGAATAGGAGGAAGAAGTTCTTCTTCTGATGTATAACGCTAATGTTCTTGGGTCCTATTGAGGTGGAAGATTCTATAAGGGAAAAGCTTATGGCTGTAGTACATGGTATGCAGTGAGCCGAGGAAATATGGGGCCCTCAGGAAGTGGGAGGGGTCTTTAGAGATGAAGAGGGTTATGTAACTGTTGTGCGCTTGGTTCCTATTGAAGTGGGATAATCTATAAGGTCAAAGCTTTGTGGCTGTTGTTATACACAATGTTTTAAAACGTGGAGGCATGATGTGAGGCATTCCACTACCTAGAGGCATGAAGCATAGTTCAGAACATAAGAGGCGTAAGCCTCCCAAACACAAAGAGGTGTAAGCCTCCTTAAGAGGAGGGGGGATGAGGAGGAAGAAAGATCTCATTTTTCTTTATTTTTAATAAAAATCTTTTTTTGATCAATAATCAGAATTTTATTAATTGATATATAAAACAGCATACAGCAACCAAGGGAAGGGATAAACTCTCTTAACCTTCCCCAAAAGAGCTTGATTTCTTGTTTGGACATTCCCTAACCCTAAACCCCCATCCTTTTTGTTTCTACAAACTATCTCCCAATTAACTCTATGGTCCTTCTCCTCCTCCCCTGGCTCCCACAAAAAAATCCGTCATCACTTTTTCTAATCTTCTGCCCACTCTCACTGGAATTTTAAACACGGAAAGATAATACACCAGTAGGTTTGTCAGTGTATACCTGATCAAGGTGATTCTCCCTCCTAAAGAAAGATAGTTTTTCTTCCAGGTGGCCAGCCTTTTGGTAAATCTGTCCATCACAGGATTCCAAAAACTGATATTTCTAGAATTATCACCCAAGGGGAGTCCCAAATACTTCATTGGCCACTAGGAAACCTCATAGCCCAACATAGAAGCACATTCCTGTATCTCTCTCATCCATGTTGACCCCCACCACACAACTCCTGCTGAAGTTTATTTTGAGATTTGACACCCTCTCAAATAGATGTACTACCAACTTCAGATTCCTAGTCCTGCTTATCTCATCCCCTTCACAAAACAAAATGGTATCATCAGCAAACTGAAGGTGTGCCACCGTGACTCTATCCCTGCTAACTCTCCAACCCCTCATCAATCCTCTAGCATCAGTTCTGTCAATTAGCTTCCCAAGTACCTCTGCAATCATTGTAAACAGGAAAGGGGAGAGAGGGTCGCCTTGTCTAATACCTTTGATGGCAGGAAAATGATCCACTATTGTTCCATTCATCGGGACTGAATAATGACACGACTCAAGGCATCCCTTAATCCATTTACACCACTTCTCTCCAAATCCAAAATTCCTCAAACCTCCAAAAGGAAGGACCAATCCACTAAATCATTCGCCTTTTCCAAATCGAGTTTACACACTAACCCTTTCTTTCTACTTCTTCTGTAATCCTCCAAGCTCTCATTTGCTATTAGGATTTGATCAATGATTTGCCTATCCCCAACAAAGCTCCTTGATTCTAGGATATTAAGGAAGGAAGCACTTCTCTAATTCTCCGAGAAAGAACCTTGGCTTATTATCTTGTAGAGACTATTCACCAAGCTGATGGGTCTAAATTCACTTGGATGAACTAAATCTGGTTTCTTAGGAATAAGAGCAATAAAGGTAGAGTTCATCCCCGGATTAATCACACCTCTTCCAGAAAACTCATTAAACACCTTTTGGATGTCCAACTTTAGAAAATCCCAACAATCCTCATAAAATGCCATTGTAAACCCATCTGGCCTTGGAGCCTTAGCTCTATCAATAGAAAAGATTGCTTCCTTAATTTCCTCCATCTGGAAAGGTCTTTGTCTTTCCAACTATATCTTAGCATCCTCCGAAAGTGTTGTCCACTCCAACCCATCTAAGCCTATTCTTCGAGAAAGGGGTCGTATAAAGATTGATTTGAAATGATCCACAAAGGCTCTAGCTATTTCCCCATGTTGAGTCAAAGATTTTCCATCCACTTCAAGTTTCGATATGAAGTCCCTTCTCCTTTTGGCCTTTGCCATGAAAGAATCTATTTTTTCTATCACCTTCTGATGTAGCACAATCCGGTCACTCCTAGCTGGTGCTCGTGTGGATTCTTGAGAGGTACTTGAAACGAGAGGGAAGAGGAAGAACTCCCGGGGGGTTTCCCGGTGGGAACGCTTCGATGCTTAAGTTAGTACTGTGTGCAAGAAGCTGAAGGAAAACGAAAGCTAAGAGTGCAGGTTGCGCTAGTGATTCCAGATACCTTGTTCCTTGAGAATAAGCTCCTTATAACTGAATTCCGTTGCTTCAGGCCCTCTGACTTCTGACAGGGCAGGTATAACCGCCACTGTGAGTCTGCCACAGCCGTTACAGGCAGGGCTGAGGTGGCACGCGCGGGGTACGTGTCTGTTAGGTGTGGGATGCCTTTCTAAAGGTGGCAGGCGCGGCGAGGGGACATGCCTGCTGTCCGCAGGTTTGTCGGGTATGGCGGTCGGGCAGGAAGCCCTCCTATGGTATACCGAACCGTTCTCCTGCGAATTACCCTGAGCTGGGCTGTCCTTTGAGTGACGGGCTGCTTGTAGCCGGTTATGCCGAGCTAGCCGACCCGAGGTCTTTGTGCCTCGGGGCGTCCGAAGAAGAATCGGTGCGTTCTTGCTTGGGAGTGACCCGAGATCCATTGGGAGGAGCTCGGGTCTCAGAAGGGGTCAGGGTGCCCCGAACTCGGGACCCCCCGAAGTGCCTTAACCCCGGGGAGGAGGTGCGGGCAAGGCGGCTTTCGGTGAGTAGTTTACTTGCCGAGTTGCCGTGCTGAACTCGGCGGGACTTTCCCTCCGAGTTGTGCTCACGTCCGTTGCGCTGTCATGCTGAGTCACTGTTTGAGCAAGGTCACGCCCACGTGTACCTGAGCTACGAGGTCGGGCCAAATCACCCTCCATCACCTTCCTTTGTCTCCTGCTGATCTCTTCTTTATTCAAAATCTCTTCTAATTGCATTGTTAGAGACCACCTTTCAGCCCTGTCATTTTCCCTGAAGATTCCTTCCCCTTCCTTAGCATCTAAGACCTCGATTTGATGTATCAACTCTTGCTTCCTTTCTTCTAATCTGCCAAACTGATGGGTATTCCACTCTTTGATTTTAATCTTTAACTCCTTCAGCTTCAGCTTCAGCTTCTGATTGAACTTTATACTCTCCCATAGAACATTCGAATTGCACTCTGTCCACCATTCCTTAATTTTCCCAACAAAACCCGGATGATTCAGTCACATATTCTCAAATCTGAAAGGAGCTGGACCTCCCCCTCGAAATTCTTCTTTGCAAATCAATATTGGCGAGTGATCAGAGGTAGCCCTAGGCATATAGCCCTTGAGGCTAGACTTCCCCAATGCTCTTCCCAATCTATTGAAAAGAGGAACCAATCAATCTTCGAACAAATTGGATTTGAGTGCAAATTGGACGAAATGAACTTATTATGTGAAAGAGGCATCTCCTTTAGCTCAAACGAATTTATAAATTTATTAAATCTCCTCATTGTAACTCTCTATTTGCTCTTACTTGTGTCTTCGACAAACCTTATTATATTGAGATCCCCTCCTATACACCATGGTCCATCCCAAAGGACTCTTATGTCACTCAATTCTTCCCAAAGCTCATTTCTCTCCCTGTATCCTTTAGGGCCATAAATGTTAGTCATCATCCATTCGAAACCATCATTCACCTGTTGAAATTTTATGGATAGTGTGAATTTACCCATTAGTTCTTCAATTCCCTCCAGTGTACCTTCCTTCCACAGAGTCACAATACCTCCGGAAGAGCCCCAAGACTAACAACGCCCACCGTAACCCTCTATTTTTCCATATGCTTCTAGCCCATCTATTATCAAAATCTCCGAATTTAGTTTCCTGAATGAGAAAGATATCCGGGTTTTCCTTCCTTAACACTTCTTTAATAATGGTCCACTTCCTAGCACTATCTAACCTACGAACATTCCAACTAATGGTTTTCATCTTCCTCGACTCTTGTTTACCCCCAAATCAACCTTGATTTACCTACTTCCCCTTCTATCCTTCCTCTCATTGAACTCCTTATCTCCCTCTAGGTCCTTTCGTAACCTCTCAGCCTCACTCATTTTTCTTTTTTTTTTTT